TTGAAGTACATTCATCTCCTACRTTACTAGTTTAAAGTTTGTAACACTGCAATGTAAAAGTAGAGTAAAACTTTGAAGATAGATAATAGCATAGGAGGAAAAAAAATGATCTTTATCTACCATTTAAACCCTACATTATCTGGAAACATTTTTTTTCATATCAAGATATTGAGAATAGCAAAATAAAAGAAGATATACCTGATAGAGTCATTCTTTTAAATTTCTTGGAATTAAATCTATTTTTTTCTTTGAGTGGGTTCATATAGTGATTGTTTTAGTCAGATTTTTCACTACTATGACTAAAAGGTCAGCACAATTGTAGAGGATGAAAAGTTCATTTAGGGGCTCATGGTTTCAGAGATATCAATCCTCAGAGAACTGGCTCCATTCCTTGGGGCTTGAGGTAAGGCCAAACAACATGGCAGAATAATATGGCTGAGGGAAGCAACTCACATGATGATCACAGGAAGCAGAGAGAGAGATTCCATTTGCCAGATACAAAAATGTATATCCTAAAGGCAGGTCCCCAGTGACCTACCTCCTCCAGCCACACCCTACCCACTTTCAGCCACTACCATGTTAATCCCATCAGGGGATTAATTCACTGATTTTGTTAAGGTTTTCATAATCCAATCTTTTCTCCTCTAAACCTTCTTGCATTGTCTCACACATGAGCCAAACTAACAGTGAGGTAAGCTTATCTTTGAAATGAGCATTAAAGGTCTTCCTGTATTGTAGGATTATGGCAAATAGCATCTAGGAATATGGTTTAATAAACCATGTACTCTTTGTTTTGATCCTTTAATTTTGAATGGATAACATATGCACATAACTTGAACATTAGAAATTTTTACAAGTACACAGGGAAGAGTCTCTTTCCTGTATTTTCTCCTATCTTTTTCATTTCTGTCACTTCAATATACACAACCACTATTATTAGCTTGTATATTTATCCTTTTAAAGATGTTTTATGAGTGTACTAGCTAATAGATATATTCTGTCTCATATCTGTGGACATATTTTTATACCAAATATGTCCACATATGTTTTATGCTTAACATACATTTTGACATTTTAAAAATTGTTGTTACTTTGTAACATTTCTTGATTATCTTCTTATATCTACACAAAAGACCTTTTTGCAGAGAATAATATTTTATTTTATAAATCAACTATTATTTAAATAATCCCCAAAGACTGGACACATAGATTGTTTCCAGTCTTTGTCTGTCATACACRATGTTATTATGAATGACCTGTATAAATACCCTTTTGTATATCAGCAAGTGTATTATCCATGGGATTCATTCTTAGAAATATCAGATAAAAGAATTCTACAATTGTGCCCTTAGTAGGTGTGGTTAAATCACTCTCTGAGAATAGTGCAAGTTTGCACTTCATTCTATAAACATGTTTCATGTTTGAGAAACTTGAACCATAATTGATACTCATTTATCTGGACAAAAATGGATATGACTACTTAGAATCTATAGTTCAATTCTTGTTAGGCATATACAGAAAGAATTGTTTTGGGGAAATGCAAAGAATATTATTCTTATTCAGCTCCTTTGGTTTTGAAAACTGACACTCAAARAAGAGAGTGACTTGCCCAAGGTCGTATATCCCATTAGGGACAAGTCTGAGACTTCTGAATTATATTCATATCTTGGTACTTGTAGTCTAGTGTTTTTTCCACAACAGAGAAGAGACAGTAACTGTGCTGTGTGATGAAGATCCTTTAGAATCTACGTCTATTTCTTCTGTGGATGTTGATAGCTACCATTTCTTGAACCTTCTCATGAACCAGGAATTGACTTTAAAATTTCCATTCACATTGTTCTTATCTAGATCAAAAGATTCAAATTCAAGGGCAAGATAAAGTGTTGCCCCTAGATTTTGCATGCATATATCTCACTTATGTCTGACCACCATAAAGACGCTATTCTGTTTAATAAAGTTTAATAGAAAGCATCATTGAAATGATAATAGCTGTTTGTCTCTAATGTACTCAAGCAATGGATTTTAAAACTATTACTGTGAAAAACTAATATATGATATTTTTGATATTAAAAAGCAATCCTTAAAAAAAAATTACTGAGCCACTTAATCCTRTCCAAGTTCTTTTTTTAATTGCCTAAATATCATTCTGTACTCCATCTGTCTCCATTATAAGGTTAAATGTTAATGATGCCACACAACACAGAAGCGAAGATAGGATCATCTCAGCTACTGCATTGATTTACATACAAGGAAACCAAACCAGGGAACAGTAAAACAATGGCTTCATYTGGGCAACTGATAACTTAGAGCTAGAGCTGGAATATTCAGGAAGTGCTCTTGACCAAATTTTACAACAAAAAAAGAGGAACTCTGCAAAGCAGTTACTTACAAGCATTATGAACAATTAAAATAATGAAAGAAATTTCCTTTCAAGCCTCATATTGATTCACCTCCAGCTTTGTGCATCTGAGAGGTCAGCACATTGGTCAATAATAACAGTTGATCTTGGACACTCTACATTTAATATAAAGCATAAAACATAGAGATCAATATTTTGATGTTGAGGAAGCTCATTTATTGGCTGTTTGTCCCTAGACCTTTAAATGGAAGAGAGAACTAAAGAAACACAGGGAATAATTTTTTCATAAATTCCATTTAAAATATGTAGACAACAATAGCTAAGGGAAAGCAAAGGAAAGGGTTTTTATTATGTCACTAGTTTCTGCTCTTACCAGTTCCTCTCCACTGCCCTCCTTCCCATTAATGCTTCCAAGCCTTCTCTTTACTAAGCTCAAGTGGACACATCTTTTATAACTACAGATAAGAGGCACTTATTCTTGATCTTCTCATCCACAAAATAGGCAGGCCATGGCCATCTCCTCTTGCTTCTTTATATATTAAGTATTTGATATAGAAAAGCAGTGGCAAAGGAGGAAAATAAAAGTACATAGACTTCAACTTCAGCAGAGAGTTTGAGGGTGCTAAAATGGCCCTGGAACAACATTTCCCAAATGTTAATTTGTAGAAACTCAGTCTTATGATAGATTCTGCAAAACAGTTTCAACAGTCAAATCCTCCTGAGGATTCACAACTCTTTAGCATGTAGTAAATGCTGAGAGAAGGCCTACAGTGTGGTAACTGGTTTGAATCAAGTCAACCAATGATTCCCCAATTTAAATGACTTTTAAACTCATGTCTCACTGCATTCACTTGGGAAATTCTGCCTGATAGAATCCTATGTTGTTCCTCTCTGTCATTTTCCTAATTTGTATGCATTAGGGGATTTGGAATATTGTACCTGGGTACAAACAACAAGTAGTCACAAGGAGTAATGAAGGAATCTAAGCACAAGTTCCTTTCTTCATGTGTTCTAGTGTTCTTTAAAAGACAGAAACTAAATAATAATTCATATGAAAATCCATTACTTAGGGTACAGWGTTAGTATTGCTTGAATATATGTAACTCTTACTTTTATGATAAAAAATATCAGTGTATAATATATTGTGTTAAATTCAACCTAATTTCCCTTTTTCTTCCATTTCTATGTTGTACCAGTTCTTACTACAATGAACCAAGCTTACCTGTGAAATCACATCTGCACAAAATTAGTAGTAAAGTTTCTCTACCTTCATTGATCACACAACATGATCTTTAATATTGTCAGTAAGAGTTTAAATATATTTAAACCAATTCTTTGTTTTTTTTTTCTCACATATCAAATAATAGTCTCAACATTTAGCAGGTAACCAACAATATTTTTTCCCTTTCGTGATTTATGTGTTGCTATTTAGATTTCATTTGAATTTAAACTCTGCCATATTCTTCTTTTTATAATGTACTCTTATTATTGTCCTTTGGTGAAATTAAGTAGTACAAATAAATCAAAGCAAATTATTTAACTTCACTATAATGTTCAAAGACTATAGATTGAAACTTACCATTTGTTCAAACTTGATTAGTTGTGGTTTAAGTTAATAAAATGATCTAATTATCCAATTTGCATATAAGACCAAGAAGCAAAAGTTATAAGGTATTTTAAGAAATTTGAATTAAAATTTGGGATTTTTTTCTTTTAATCTGTTTTTACTTTACATATGAAGGTGGTCCTATTCTGTTATACTCCTAAATTTAAAATTTTATATGAGAATGGAGTGGTAGAGTATATGCCTAGCATTGTGAGGTTCTGGTTTCAATCCCAGCATCAACTTCCTCCCAAAACTTTATGCATGTGTAGAAATCAAAAGAATAGCACAATAGTTGGGTTTTACATGTAAAAGAAAAGTCAAATTTTGTCTTTTATTATGTAAATAGAGATTTAATATATATATATATATATATATATATATATATATTCCTTTGTGATAATTTTAATATATTAAAAATAAGTGACTAACAGCCTATTCAAGTGTATATGCTCTGTTATTCCTATCATACCTCATGTATGTGGGGATTGATAGTTTCCACTTTAAAACTGAAAAGAATATTTTGAAATTATTCTTTTAACAATTATTATGATATAAATTCTCTTGGCATTTTTTAAAGAAAATTGATTTTCTTTATTATGTGCAATGCCTGAACTTGTCTTATTTACAAGGAAAGTTATGGCTAGCACTGGCTCTTTCTTCCCATGTCAATTCAGTTGCTCATTTTGTGGGCAATTATTTCTCAGTTTATTTCCCACCAAGGATTTGTCTTTTGCCAGGGTGCCAATTATGTACATCTTATACTGTAATCTGTCTCACTTGCATCTGACCAATAATGATGGAACAATTCACTGGTAGGAAATTCCTTTTCACAATTATCACTTTCCTGGGAAATTGCCTAGTTTAAAGGAGGTTGTACTAAAAYCTTTTACCAAAGAAGCATTTACATCATCAATATTTCTTAGCTTGTCTGTCTCCAGGCTCCAACACAAATACCTAAAATAAATAAAGCACCAATTATTTGAAAAGTAAAAAATGCCTTCCTTATCCTATTTCTCTTTCCTTTTGCATTTAYAGATGTCATCCATACCGTAGGGCCAATAGCCAGAGGTCATATTAATGGTTCCCACAAGGAAGACCTTGCAAATTGCTATAAATCATCTCTGAAGCTGGTGAAAGAAAATAACCTCCGATCAGTTGTAAGTACTTTCATATTCCTCATTTCTTATTCTGTTTCAGCCTTTATGTTTTGGAAATCAATCTTGTCTAAGAAGAGGTAGGAAACCATTTCCAAAATTCTGAAGATTAAATTTAAGGATTGCAGCTAAATTATATATTCTTTTTAGTTATCATGACTCTACATGTTGGTATCCCCTAAAAATTTGCTAAATTATTTATGATGTTTTAGAATTTGAAACTAYAGAACTCCCCACCTAGAGTCATCTTGTCTATTGTTTTCTCTTCATTTTGTCATTTATTTTCTTTTGAATAAAGTACAAGGGATGCTAGTGGCCAATAGTTTTAAAGAAGGAAATTAGAAAGTGCTGAGTATTATTGTACTACACATTTCTTACATATTGGAAGTGTGCATATGCGTGTTTAAAGATGAGTTTAATCTTTACCTACATGTTTGAGTACACAAGCTTGTGTATAACTGCATTGCTTTAGAAATGACTCATTTGCAGAAATTGACTCTGTATTTTTATCTGAAAGTTGTTTATGAATCTTTTAGATTCATTTTAGTCATCATGAACTAATACTTTGTAGCTGAGTGTCCCACATGCCTTCTAAATTTTATCATTTTAGACAGAACATTCAGAAAATGTGGCTCTAATCTATTCCCTTAACAGTGGGATAAGATGAAAGGAATTCTCTTCTAGATGGATTTGGAGGTGTTTATCCACCTGCTTTTCTTTTACAGCATGTCCTACCTCTATTACATCTCAATTACATCAGGAAAATGAAACTATGAGAATACTAGATTGTAAATAACCARTAATAAGTTAATTTGGCCAGAATCCCTTGGGTTTTTTCCTCAAACATATGTCATAACCTTATTGAAATTGTGGGGTTAAACACTTGACTTTGTAGCAGGCTGAATTGATCAGCATTGCTTGGGATTGCACTCAAATCATGATTTTACTATTTGCAAGGGAAAAAATTAAGAATTACACATATTGAAATAACCCTGAATGGTTGCTGTACTTTTGTGTGTGACTGTAATTATAAAGTGCCTTTTTCAGTGCAACATTGRTGAATCTGCTTGAAATGAGAAAACTTTTTATAAGCCAATTTTATAGCCCTTTTAATCTTTGCATAATTACAGAGCTGAATATTTTATTTTACCCTTTGATTTTTTAAATTTTCTGTTTGYAAATGAATCGATATATAAGAACCTATTCTGTCTCAGAGGAGAAAGCTGAAGTTCAAAGAGAATGGAGCAAAGTAAACTAGGAAGCYGGTTGGCTAATTTTGTTCTCTATAGGAAAGTAAGGAAAATCGAAACAGGTGMGCACATTCAGGGAATAATTAAAAATTTGTCAATATGGMATATTGATTTTAAAAGGCAAGGGGCAGAAGTGCTTGGAAAATGGACATGTATAGAAGTTTCCAACCAGGGAGGGAGGGATTTTGAGACCTGAAGAGAATTTGTTTAATGAATTCACTGGCTTCTCTAATGATATGCTTTTAAAAGCCAAGAAAAAAAAAWAAGAGGCAAAAAGCCCACTAGAAAGAGAATAAGAACAGTACTCACTCTTTAAATGGGGGAAAGACATTCTTAACTATAATAATGTTAAAACAATMATATCTGTCACTGTGCTACTTGCTACCATTGGAAGTGGAATAAGTATTATGGACTAAATTAATTTATCAAAGGGACCTAGGTTGGGCTGATGCAATAAGTTAGTTATTCTGAATTGGAATCAGCCTACCCTAATATCTTATATGAAGATTTTGAAAGATTACTTAACTTGTTAAGTAATTAACTAGTTAATTAAGATTACTTAACATGTTACTTAACTAAAATTTTCAGGTGATCCTGAACTGAGTTTATTCTAGTATTAGTAATTAAAATGGAGTAAAATATATCAGTAAAATATGAAATGAAATGTCCACCTAAAATAAAGACTATGTTTTTGAGTGGTTGGCTGGAATTGCCAACAAATATCTYGACCCTTTTTCATAAAAAGTTTGTTCATCCTTTCTTCTTCTTTTGAAGGGGGAGACGAGAGTGTCTTTATGCTATGTTTTGGTCTATCATTAAAAAAAGAAKGCTAATGTCCTCAAATTCTGATTATTTGGGGGGGAAAGGAAAGTTTTTAGAAATGTGATTATGACTGGACACATGTTCAGGCTTGTAATGGCAGACTCACGACAATAAACTAGAGTTTATTTATTAATGTCAAAGTTTCTCAGAAACCCTTTACCAAAGGGGCTTTAGYGTTCATTCTACCAGTTAGCACTGTGTGACAACAGACAAATAAAGTCAAAGTTTTKTAGCATCAGTTGCTAGATATAACAAATCAGCAAATTACTGTTATCTCAGACCTGTCAAACTCARGAGGTTATTATGAGGATCAACTGAGAAAATGGATTTAAGATAACTGGAGAAATGTATTCTCCAGCAACTGTAGTTTTTGACTATGTAACTTTTAGTAGAAATTGTTTTTAKACTTTATGATTGGCAATTTAGAAGATAGGTATTATTCTTGCTTACATATATATTCTGAACACCAGAATCCTTGATACTTATCATGCTATTTCTTGATGTTTATAAACTAGAATAAATTATAATAAAGAATAGTTTTTGATTAGGATATTATATTTATTTAAGCTATTATTTACATTCTTAATATCATTTTATTCATAATCCTTAAAAATGTAATTGTTTATATTACCAGCTCACTTCTCCATTTATAATAACAGACAATATGGGTTTTATACTGTTCAGTATATGCATTGATTTAAATTATATTCTTGCATCACCAACAATAGCTGTCTTAAATTTATACTCTAATTTTTTAACTTTTAAAAGTTCTTTCATATTATGRTTTCTCCATTACATGTTGTTTGGAAGAAAAGCTATAAAAATGAATACTGAGCAAATAGTTAAATCAGGATAGCACATATATAGGGAAGCAGTTATAAGGCAGTATGGGAAATTTCATAATGAGGTTATGTTACTTGAGTGCTTCGAATCACTTAGCATGTGCKGCAGCTACAACTAACCTCTGAATGTCAGACTTATGAATAGTGTTTCATCTCATATGTATAATATCTGCAACTCATAACCTCCTTAGTCGAAGAACATAAAATTTGCAATTGTTTTTCTGTCTTGGGGTAGAAATGACCTATATCATTTATGCTTCCATTTTATTGGCCAGAGCTATTCATGTAGTCCTGCCTACATATAAGGGCCAGAGAAATGTTCAGGAATAAACTGAATATTTGATTGACACCATTTTTCTGCTGAAGTTAAATCAAAGGCTTTAGGAACACAGCAGAAAGATCTAAAGTATCTGCTTTTACTCTAATTTCACCAAAGGAAAATCTTTTTCACATTTTTACTAGAGGTAAATGAATAATCTGATTTTTATTTATTTAATAAATACTAATGAGACCACTGTGTATCAGGACATTATTAGATGTCTTCTAAAACATGCAGGACATAATGGTTGTCTTCAAACAAACCCATCATGTCCCCTGTATGATTTGAGACTATTCTGTAGTTCTTGTATCACTTTTAAATATCTTCCCACAGTTGCCTGAAATTTCATAATTAATGAGTAATTTATGATGGTCAGGCCTTGTTCTTTCTCTGCAGTTTTCCTTTAAAATGCAAATACTCATGAGATCAGTAGATAATTAATTTCCTAATACCWTAATATGAAGGAATTTATCAAATTACTTTTTACTTTGGCAGGATAATTTAGAGGATGATGAAAGTACTGAGCACCTGGGACTGGGGGAGGAGGAGGAGAATTGGAAGGGAGTTGAGAGAAACAGAATACGGATTGTGGTATAAATAAATAACACTTACCTCCCAGGTTTTCCAAAAGGGTTTTATTTTTAAACAAAGAGAAGGAAATGTTATGTGCGCAYATAATCATCTAGAAATAAGGTAGTGATTTGGATGTTGGATATGCTGTGGATAAAATGTTTGACTATGAAAAAATACTATTCTATTAATTTAGGGGAGAAATTTTGCCTACCTTTTAATCTCTGAATAGAGATCCAGTCTTTGTGAGGGTCATTTTCAATATATACACCCATATGTTTGCTTTAGGCACTTAAGAAATTAATAGAWCTAATGACTCATTTTATACTAGCATTTCTTTTTTATGAATTATTATTTTACTACAACCTTATTAATTTCAGGAAATATTTAAACTGRGAATTTTAACCACAAATCTCCTTCTATTCTTACCATAAAGGGTTTAAAAAAAAATCCTGTCCAATTTTTCATGCTTTCTATACCTAGTTAGTGGGTTTCTTTTTCTTTTAAACTTAACTATAAATATAATTCAGCTACTTTTCTTCAACTTTAAGTTTCCTTTGGACAAAATTCAAATATATGCAAATTAATTTTTGTAAATACAAAATCAATWTTGGTTGAGACTGTTGATTACAATATTGGTAAAATATAAGGCACCATGAGGATGCTAAATAAAAGTTAAATGTACTGGACACTGGAATAGGAAAAGAAGTGTTAAAGGAAAATCAAAAAGGGTTTAGATTTTCTCTGTAAAACCTTGGGAGAGAGAGGTAGATATGAAAAAGAAAAGAAAAGAACAGTAACAAAAAAGATGTCTTAGAATCACAGTATTTTAACATATGTGACCCGAGAAAGCAATAGGCAGGCATCTATAATATTTTGATTTTTGGAAAAACAGTGTGACCTTAGAAAGCTAAACTGCAGATAATATACAATATCCCCGTGACTATGTAATACCTAAGACCTAAACCATCTAATTGAAAATGGTGTATTGTCAACCTAAACAGCAGTCAGAGAGAGATTCTCTAAAGATTAATGAACTGTATTTGGAAGTAGGTTAGCATTGCAGTGGAAATATCTGTACCATAGTAAACCATGAGCATATTCAAGGARGTTTGAACAAGTCGAAGTTTTTAAGAGCAAAATCAGAAGGATTACATAAAATATTTTGAATCAATTATCCTTGACCATGATGATTAATAA